GAATCCTGAATTAGTCCAGGCTCTAGGTTGCAGGCAGCAGAAGCAGACATCGACTGTCATAAGCAAAAGGGACATTCATTAGGAGATTATCAGATAGATCACAGAATCAGAGGAGGCTCGAGAAACCGACTCAGAAATGGGCAGAAACTGAGGGGGGTGAGGCCGCAGAGGCGGCAAGGGCAAATCTCAGGACAGCCTGCTCAGGACACCGTCACAGGCACCACTTAGGCTGGACGCCCCTGCAAGGGCGCCAGAGCCTCAAGCGTCCCGCTGCCTCCTCTGCTGCGGGCCACACGGGTGCCTCCCTCCTCTGACCCACACAGCCCTCTGAGGCAGATCCTCTCACCTCTATTTTACAGAAGAGGAAATTGAGGCTTAGAGAAGCCTAAGGTCACCAGACAATCAATACAGTGAGTGGGACTGGAATCAATAGCTGTCAGACACCAAAGCCCATAGCCTTCCACGCTGTTCCGCACTGTCTCCTTCAAGGGGTACCACCCACCATTCTTATATAAGTGCAGCTCCCTGCATAGTGCTTCATTGCAGCCCCGAAATTCTAATGCGCTAGCTTTTTTGTGCCTGCATCTTTGGGGTATGTTTTTGGCCCTGACAGATTGTAGGAGGGAATATAAAGACAGCAAAGTCAGCACAAGACTGAGCAGAGAGAGGGTCTGCACCCCAACATGGGTGGGTTGAAGCTGCTTCCAGGATATGACATCCTTGGGGATGCCGGACAGCAGGGCCTGGCCTGAGGCTCAGGGAGGCCTGCAGAATCTGGCCAAGGACCCGCGTCCTCACCCGCCCTTCTGGCTCCTGCGTGTCCAGGCTGTGTGTTAGCCACACAGGGCGGGCTTCGTAAAGAACACTCAGAGGCTGCTGCCCAGCAGCCCTGCCACATCCAGGGCCGTGCTTTGAGAAGGAGGCCATCCTTGGTGGGGGAGTCTTCTGGCAAAGTCAAAACATGACCCTGGATGTCCTGGAGAGGCCGAGGGCAGAGCCCCAGACGGGGAACCCCAGCGCCGGATCCCAGCCCAGCTCCACCTCCACCGTTCCATGACCTTGGGCCAGCCTTTCTGGGTTTCGGTTTCCCTATGGCTCTGTCCTTTGTTGGCTGCCCCTGCCCTCCTACCCTCCACCTCCCACACTGGCCAAATTGTGCATAAAAAAAGATCTCAGGGTTCTTTGAGCTCTTTGGAGAGACCGCATAAATGCAAGGCATTATTAGCATCATTACTATTAAATATTAATAATGACATTAGCATTGTCCATTATAAGCCTGAAAAGAAGCTCTCAGAGCCCTGGGTTGAAATGGCTAAGAGAATAATTAGGCCCCTCCGGGTGGCAGGCCCCTTTAGGCCCTCACGCAAAATTAGGAAGGCAAATGTAGGTGGGGGACTGAGATTTCCCTTCCAGCCCCCTGCTCAGTTCAACTTGGCTCCTCCCGGACCCACACAAATCATACTCTTTCCTGTCCCCAGCAACCCCATGCCACAAACACGTTCCCCAGCTCCACACTGTTTATTCCAGTTCAGGAGGCACCCCCAATCCATCCCCCAAAACCTTTGCCCACCTCCTAGCTCCCGCTCTCCCCCATCTGAACTGTCAGAGCAGTCATTCTCCCCCATTTATTCACCAGTCAACAGATAGTTATTTGAGTCTCTACTAGGCATCAGTCACTAGGTTAAGCTGGGGGTGGGGGGCACAGGAAACATGGGCATGAATGAGAAAAATCTCTGCCTTCAGAGACTGCACGGTCGAGGGAAACATCACCAGTGTTTTGCATGGTACTTCATACAAACAGTGCCTTTAAAAGTCATATTTTAATCTACTTGTCCTTACACTATTCTAAGTTAGGAATAGGATTATTTGCATTTTGGCGATGAGAACCTGGATTCTCAGAGAAATTAAGTGTCCGTCAGTGTCCTCCAGCTGGGTCATCCAGAGCAGTGACAGTCCGGCTCTCCTGAAGGTGAATCCACAGTCACCCAACCATTGAAGCAGAGAAGGGCTCAGGCTCATAGGTGCACGCACTCATTACAGATGGGGAAGCTGAATCCCAAAAGGGCCCAAAGGGAAGTAGTAATGTTTGCTGAGTACCTACCATGTGCTTAATTCAGCATTCACACCAACGAAGCAAGGCTGTGTCTTCATCCCTGTTTTTCAGACAGAGAACCTGGGACTCTGAGATTAGTGACTTCCGGGCCACGCAGCCCGGAAGTAGCAGGACTATGTGTCAAGCTGCTGTGGTTTCAGAGCTTTGCTCAACCCGCCTGTCACTCTTCCTGGAAGCTGCGGATGGATCATCCTGCTCCCACTGCCAGATTGCTTCCAGAAAGGTTACAGGCACACTGAAGACAGACCATATCCTGTGGCTCTTGAACCCCCCGCTGTTCTAGGTGGAGCCCCGGCTCCATAAACACATGAACACTCCTGGGAGTGCTGGAACACTTCTGAAGCCTGAGACCAAAGGTGAAGAGCCTGGTTGCAGGAGGGGCTGGGAAAGGCCATGTGAGGCTCGGGACTAACGCAGGAGGAGAGCCACTCCGTCAGGGGCCTGTGTTCTGGCAGAGAGCTCCTCCCCTCTGGTCCCCTGGGGCTGACCCGAAGCCCCTCCTTGACCACTGGAAATCCCCTGGTGGGCCTCCGGAGTGGGGAGCAGGTGGTCTGAGCAGGGCTGAGTGGCCCTCAAGATGTCTCCTGGGAGCCCCTCCTCGGGGCCACCACATTGCCAGGCAAACAGTGGCCCATTTGCCTAGCTGCCTGCTCGACTTCAGCTTGACCTCCTCTGCCCGTCTGGCAGTCTGTGGAAACCCAACTTGGAGGTGAGGTGTCCTGCTCTAGACAACAGGAGGCATACTGATTAGCCCCAGAAAGAAGAGGGGCCCCTTGTAGTCAGCTGTGCTGCGGACTCTGGGATCTGACCGGCACCAAAAAAGAGCATGCTGCCCTGCCCCCTGCCCTGCCCGCCCTGGAGGGGCCTGCGGTGGGGGCTGGAGTCCGTGGGTCCTGGAGTCAGGCCAGCGTTCTCCACTTCTCTTGCCTACTTTGAGCAGGTTCTTCAGTCTCTCTGAGCCCCATCTGTAGAGTGAGCATAATAATAATAACACATACCCCCTTGGGTGGACAATTCAGATAAAGCACTTAGTACAGTTCCTGGCTCATTGGAGACACTCAAGTTATTGTTAGTAATTTACACAATAATTAATAATAATATTATAAACTGCTGTTGCCATTATCAATCTAATGGGCCCACAAGCAAAACTCAGCCTAGACTCCCAAAGGCTCAGCCCACTCTTTTGTCAGAAACAGAAGCACCTTAGAGGCAGTGAGGAGCCCCCAAGCCCCTTAAATCCATCTGAGATGGAACTCCGGGAGATATTGCCCCAAATCCGGTCCTGGGCTCAGTTAGCACTCTTGTTTGCACTTACTGTGGCCTCTGGGGCCCACGGGCAGGACAGGCAGCTTGCAGAGGGGTCTGAGAACATCTTGGAGCCCCCAGTCACTTGTGTCACTGGGATGGGAACCGTGGCCTCCCCAAGGACCCAGCCCCCACCACAAGGGCAGCAGCTGTCCTGAAACAGTCATAGAGACGGCAGTGTCAATCTACAGCAATCCTCCCTGCAGGTGTTTGCAGCCCGCGGGCCCGAGTCAGCCGGCCTGGTCCGCCTCTCCCAGGGCGGCAGCTGAGCCAGCCCCTCTTGGCAGCCGTTTCTGCTTGGAGAGAACTCGGGGCACTTGGCTTGGAGCCTTGGTTGACTTGGGTGGGGTCTGAGGGCCGGGCTCCCCTCTTGAGGCCAAGTGCCAGCTTCAGGAAGACAGACAGACAAGGACAATGTGGGCAGAGGCAGTAGAAGGACGGACATGCTGGAAGGGACTTGCTCAGTAGCAGTCCAGTTATCCAGGAGAGGTGGTTCACAGAGCCTCCATCAGGAACGAGGAACACTGCCCCCGAGCGGGGAAGCGCCATGCAGGGGCAGCGGAAGGCCCGGAGCGGGGAGAGCCACGGGCCGGCCAGGCATACAGACCCTCCCTCGGACCACACCTCCTCCTCCCTTTCCAGGTCATTTCTCTGTCGACCCAGGCCCGTCCCCAGCCTCTGTGTCCCCCTCCACTCAAAAACACATGGAGCCATGCTCCAGGCTTGACAGGTGTGTCCCCTGAAAGCTCTGACGCTGGCCTGTCCCCGCCAGCTGCTTTAGCATCTGGACCGCTCACTGGTCTCGTCTGAGCGAGCTGGACGGCAGGCGGACCGGGGTGGGGGCACTGTGGCAGCCTGCCGGGCCACGGCTACCGCAGACGGCTGATCCCCCCTCCTCCAGGCCCCAGCCTCCCTGGGCATGCCTGCCACTCGACAGGAACAGAGGGGAGACGCATCACTCACCGGGTGAGCACACAGAGTCTCAGAGCTGGCAGGCACCCTGGCCATCTTTAGCCCCTTCAGCTGATCAGTGAGGGTCAGGAAGAGAGAGCACTCAGCCTAGAACACTCAGTCAAGCTAGGCACAGGGCCCAGACTGCCTTGCAGAGACCCAGACTCTTAACCTAGCGGGCTTTTCATGACAACACACTGCGGGCTGGTTGAAAATGGGCTTGGATTCATACACAGTTATGTGAAAAGTGGCTCAAGGTCTACTATATAATTTTAAAATATTTTGCCAATCAATGATATATGGGGTGACCATTTGCATAAAATAATACTAAGAACCCATGTAATTTTATACACGAAAATAATAAACCCAGAGGCATGTAATTTAAATTTGTTAAGGTCCGGTCACTATCTATTTGAAAATTTCCTCTAATATTCGCTTATCTTGACCAAGAGCCCAAGTTACTTTTATAAACTGGGGAAACAATAAAGACGATGGGAGGCAGCCCTCCACCCCAACCGCCCCGCACTTCATTTCTAATTTGCAGCCCTTCCTCTAAGAGTCGATTCGACGGAGTTTGCCTCCATGGGTCTCTGGGGTTTGAGGACTAACAGCCACTCTCGGGCTTTCTCACCGCACCCTCTCCAGCCCTTCAGCGCGGGGCTGGGCAGGAAGGGCGGGGGCAGAGGCCAGGCGGCGCAGGAGCCGAACCGCCCGAGCCTCACGGAAGACGCGGCCCGGCCCTTAAACACGGGAAGCAAATGAGGTGAAGCAGGGCTGCTGGGGAAGGGAGGGGCCGGGGCGCGTCTCCAGGCTGAGACCCAGCCAGCCAGTGAGCGGCGCCGGCAGAGGGAGGAGCGCATCTCGGTGCAGAGATGCTGCAGTGAACCGGCGGCACACACGCGCGCACACACGCACACGCGCACACGCGCGCCCTCGCCCGCCGCTGCACCAGGACGGCAGCGAGCGCTGGGGCTGAGGGAGCGGAGCGGAGGAGGGCGGCCCGGGGCGGCAGCCCGGCTGGCTCGGCTCCAGGCGTGAGCGGTGACCCCCTTCCCCGGCCAACACCCTCCTTGCATCCCAGGTAGGTGCCAGCCGCTTTTGTCTCCTCCAGCCCAGGGGCTTCCCGGGGCACCGCTATGGGCAGGGGCTGGGCACTCAGTTCCTTTGCGGGGAGCACGGGAGCAGGGGACAGGGGCAGGGCCGGAACCCCAGCCGCGGGCAGGCTTCTCACCCCAGCCCCCCAGGGGCTGCTGGGACCCGAGACTCCCTCCGCCCTGTCCACGTAGGTGGCACCCCGCAGGGCCCTGGCAGGCCAAGCCTGGCGGGGAAGCTGAACCCCAGGAGTATGTCCAGGAGCTCAAGCCACAGGCTGGCAGCAGTGACTGCCCCCAGAGTGCCCCTGGCCCAGGGCTTGACCGTCGGTGAGGCCAGGCCCCGTACCCCGGCCTGCCACGTCCCTGGGTGGGAGCGAACCTGACTGGCCGGACGTGCGGCTGCCCTGGCCTGCCTGTGCAGGGTGACCTCTTTATGAAGTCCTGCTTCTGTTAGACGGAAGGGGAGGCTGCGGGAGGTGAGGGGAGACTGGAGCGCAAGTTTAGGCAAAGGCCCGTCCAGGAGCCTGGACTTAGGGAGGAGAACCTGGGTCAGGTCACATCCCTTCCGCCCTGCCCCCCTCCCCGTCTCCTCGGGTCCCCCCATCCTCGCAGCTGGCAGTAAAGGAGTCGCGGAAGTTTGACTTTCCAGCGAGGGAGGGGATGAGGCCGGAAGGGGGAGGGGTGCCACGTCGGGGGTCTTGAAAGAGAAGGCAGCCCTACTGTCCCGCCGCCGTGGGGCTCCCCGGGCCAGAGGCGGGGGTTCCCCACGTCTGAGGAGTGAGGAAGGGGGTGAGCTCAGACAGCGCCTGTGGAAGGAGAGCGTTCGGCCCCGCGCGGGGACAAAGCCACAGACCGCTGGGGGCAGAGCCTGAGTCCTAGGGGAAAAGCTGTCAGTCACGGTTGTTTAGAGGATTGGGAGTCTAGAGCTGTGAGCACCCATGACCCCTGCCCGGAGAACCTGGGTTTGCTCGCCCCCAGGCTTCCTGCTCCTAACTTCCCCCTGCTCCATGTCCAGCCTGCAGTGGGTCAGACTCCTTTCACCCTTGCCTTCCGGCCTGACCCCAAAAGCCCCAGCCTCCCTCCCCAGCCCAGCTGGCATCCTGTCCTTCTGCCCGAAGGGCGGCGGGAGGAGGAAGACCCCACATTAGCCAGGGTGTCACTGGTCTGATGGCATTCCGGGCGGCCGTCTGGGACTCCTCTCCCAGCCTCCCAGCCAGAGAGCTGTCTGCATCCCTGCCTCCCAGAGGCCCTCAGAGAGACCCGATGGGACTGAGGGCAGTGAAGGGTGGGCCCCCTGTGGGAGCGGCCAGAGATGGGGCAGAGAGGTGCCCTGACCCTTGCCTTGGGAGCAGGGAGGTCCATGCCCCACCCCGGGTGCCCCACCACCTAACCCTCTCCAGCCAAGCTGCAGGTGCCCTTGAGGACAGCTTTCACCCGAGGTCAGAGTTCTCCCTCGTTCCCCATGAGATCTACCAGGAGCCCCCAGCCATCAGGAGGGGGTGTGAGGTGATACAGACACGGAGGGGCCGCTGCGCCCACGGCAGCAAAGTCCCTGATGCCCCCCTCTCCTTCTGGGGCCCCTTGTGTGGTGGGGGATGCAAAAGCACAGTGCCCGAGCAGAGGGGCCCCATTTATTCCCCTCTTACTCCCTACCCAGCGTCTACACCCCCCAAGCTCTCTGCCAGTCAAATGCACTCCCCTCCACCCCACCGTCCCCCACCCGGATTTCACTCCTTATGCAACTCTGTTCCAGCACCTTCTCTGCCAGCAGTTGTTTAAATAGACACGTGTGGGAAGGGCCTCTGAGGCAGTGCGCTCAGCAGGACGGTCTCTGACTGGCTGACCAGACTGGCTCCTCAGGAGCAGTACTAAGAAGGAGGTGCCCCCCAAGTGTCTTCTCTGACTTGAAGACCATCAGGGAAGCCGCGCCCTTTGAGAAGGCACAGTGCCCCCCCACCCAAGAGATGTCCTCAGCCAAGTGTTTGTGAGAAAGCTTATCTCAGAAGCCTGAGGTCAGAACCCCAGGGTTGATTCACAGGAAAAGAACTAGAGCAACCTGTATGCCAATGAAGCAAGAGGGACTGAAGCTAGAGTGCAGGAGCGACTTCCTCACCAGGAAGACCAGCCACGAGGAGCTGGGGCAGCCTTCTTTCCCATGACTGTGTGATGGTGGCGGGAGGGGGGAAGTGGGGGCTGGGCCAAGCTGAGAGGCATGTCTTCCTGGAAGTAGAAGTTGGGCTGGATGACCCCGTAAATTTCTCCCAGCCTCAGGTCATCCTCCGATAAATGATACAGGCGGGAGTGACTCAGGAATTCATGAGCAGACAGCCATCCTTTTCTCTCCCTCTTGCATGCTGGCCACCTCTCAGCCTTCTGGACCTCCCTAATCTAGACCAAACCCCCTGGGGCTCTGCTGACGGAATATTCATGGAAGTTTTTGTGGGTTTTGTGCCCTGATGGTAACCATCCTGGAGTGAAGAAGTCCTTCCATGGATTTAATGAGTTCTCTTGCTATAAACTGAGCCTGTGTTTCCTCATTTACCCAAAGAAGGTGCAAACCACAGCTAAGGTGTTTATGGCCTCACCCAAAACCAAGCACACTCCACCCCAGGACATGGGCCAACCCAAGGGCACCTCAGCTTCTTTATCTGATGACTCCCACCCCACACTCAGGGCACCCACCCCAATGAAACCAGCTGGTCTCCTCCAGCCTGCATCCTCTCCATGTCTGCCTGCCTCATAGACCAAAAGGCTTCTCCACCCTGGTTCTGGCGGAAGGGTGGTCCTCCTGCAGGGTAGCCCCACAGGTGCCATTAACCTGGGCCCTAGAGTGGACACTAACCAGAGAGGAGGAGCAAGTTCAAACCCAGCCCAACCAGGTTTGGTTCTGAACCAGTCTGTCCAGAAACTGGGGGGAATCTCCTCTCAGCAGAGATGAGGGGACGTGCAGAATTGCTCCACTGATTTATTCCTGATTTGGATCTTCCAAACCAAGTGAACAACTGCTCCCACTCCCGATGTCACAGAAAGGGGCCCTCCTCCAAAGCCCTCTCCCCTTCTGCCCCCAGACCCCACGCTTGGCAGGCAGGCAGGCAGGAACCCTGGAGTCCGGGCGCTGCGTGCCCCACCTGCAGGGCCTCTCAGAAGCCCTCAGAGCTCTCCCCTCCTGTCCACTCCCCACTCTGCGGGGTCTCTTCAGGGGAGAGGGTGGGCACGGGAGGGAAAGATTCCAGACCGCAGATCAAGGGCCGACTCCCCCTGCCCAGGACCCAAAGCTTAGGCAGATCCCTGAGCCTGGGAGTCCCGGAGTCGGGCCTCAGGGCGCCAGCTGCAAACACAAAGAGCCTGCAGAGACCAGCAGGGCCCAGGAGGGAGGCAGCGCAGGGAGCAGGCTGGGGCGGGAGCGCGGCCAGGCTTGCCCTGTCCCCAAGCAATCCCTGTCCCCAAGTTCCCACGGGGACTGAGAGGTTTCCCTCCCCACCCAACACACCCAGGGACCTGCTCCAGCTCAGGACAGCAGCCGCCCGCCACCAAGGCCTCGCAGGCACAGTCCTCCTCCCGCCGGCTCCTGCCCCGCGGGCACACGGCCCCGCGAGGCCACTGCGGACCCCATCCTCCGGGGCGTGGAGATGGTTTAGACCTTCCTGGAAGACGGTGGTCACGTCCCAGGACCCTTTCATAGGCAATTCCTTTCGTGCAATTCCTTTCGTTGCCAGAGTCCCCCTCCCATCCTAGACCCCAGAGGCAGGCGGTGGGGCGGCTGATGAGAAGTACCTGCTCGGGGGAACCCACGGGTCTGTCTGAGCCAGGCGCCCTCCTGCACGCACGGAGTCTGGGTGTGACCATGTACCTTGTGGGGGCTTGCCCAGGCCCCCCACACCCGTGGGGTGACGGGGGAAGGCGCCCGTCCAGGGCGATGGGGAGGGGGGTCTGTCAGTGTTCTCCATACATGTGAGTGTGGCCCAAATGTGACCGTGCGGCAGCCAGACTCACGGCCAGGCACGGTGTCTGTGGGCACACCTGTATGTCCCTCGGTGTGCTGGTGCCCGCGCTTGAGACCAGTGAGGGTGCTTAGTGACAAGCTCTGATGTTCCTCAAGCACTTACTATGGGCCAGGAATGGTGCCAACCTCACAGGAGTCCCGGGAGGTGGGTAGTACCCTTCTCATCCCTGCTTTGCAGAGGGAGACTGAGGCTCAGAGAAGTTCAGTAACAAATACAGTAACTGGGGTTATACCGGTTAGTTATCCTAAGGTTACACTGGCTAGTAAGTGTCAGGCCTGTCAACATCAGACCCCCCCCTTTAAGCAGTGTGCCGGGTGCGGGGAACCCGGGGTGCTCCTGCAATCCCTGGTGGTTTATAATAAGTCACTGAGCCTGCCCTCAACTGGGCTCCTAACTGCTTTTCCTACCCGCCTCATCCCAAACCTGCTCAGATCTCCACGGTCAGGGGAAAGGAGACACAGGTTCCAGGGCCGGGAACTCAGTGCCCTTGGGTGGAGGGCATCTCTCATTTGCTGATTGGCCCTGAGCAGGGGTCCTCAGCCCAGCAGACCCTGGTGGGGTCCAGCTCCCAGCCTCCCACCCCTCAGTTGTCTTCCAGATCTTTGTCTCCTGGCCCAGCAACTCAGTCAGCTCCCCCTGAACCTCGAGCAGCCTATAACTCCCATGCTCTTTCAGGACGGGTCCCAAATAGTGCCAGCTTGTGCCCGCCTGTGCCAGCCTGCGCCTCCCCCCTGCACTGGGGCAGCTGCCTGGGGCCAGCTCTGGGCCTGGCATAGCTCCACTCCAGGCTGTGCTCCATCCTGGGCATTCTAGCGTGTGTCACAGGGCTGGTGTGGGAGACGACTGGCCCCTGAGGCTCTCAAGCACATCCCCTGACCGCATTCAGCTGGGCAGGGGTTCTGCCAGGTGGTGTTGTTCCTGCCCACCCTTCACGCTTAGCACAGTGCCTGGCACACAGTGTTAAATATACAGTGGGGA